GTAGTAGTGTAGAAGTTGTAGTAGTAGTAGTAGTAGTAGTAGTAGTAGCAGTAGCAGTAGTAGTAGTAGTAGTAGTAGTAGTAGTAGTAGTAGTAGTAGTAGTAGTCGTAGTAGTAGTAGTAGTAGTAGTAGTAGTAGTAGTAGTAGTACAAGTAGTAGTAGAAGTAATAGTAGTCGAAATAGTAGTCGTAATCGCAGTAGACGTCGTAGTAGTAGTAGCAATACTTTTCGTAGCCGTAGTCGTAGTCATAGGAGTAGCAGTAGTAATCTGAGTAGGAGTAGTGGTCGTAGTAGTAGCATCAGGATTACACGTTTTAGTAGGACTCCTAGTCATAGTACTTGTAGTAGTAGTAGCAGTAGTAGTCGTAGTAGTAGTAGTAGTAGTAGTAGTAGTAGTAGTAGTAGTAGTAGTAGTAGTAGTAGTACTCGTAGTCGTAGTAGTAGTAGTAGTAGTAGTAGTAGTAGTAATAGTAGTAGTAGTAGTGGTAGTAGCAGTAGAAGTAGTAGGAGTGGTAGTAACGGTTGTTGCTGTAATAATAATAACTGCAGTCTGTGTCCTGTGGTAGTAGTGCTCGAAAAACTGGCGCCGGCGGTGAACCGTCAACCTAGTCACCGCCGGAAACCTCGTAGAGCTCCTTTCGCACGTAAGATTGCTCAGAATCAGAAGAGAGAGCTTCTGGAAGGATTTCTCGAAAAAGGCAAAGTTGATTTTTTCATGTCGACATGAAGTTGGTTCCTCAAAGTGTTTTGATCGTAAAAGTGCGCCTACGGAGCTCATATTAAGACGCAGAGGCCCTCTCAATCGTCGACAGGTGCGAAAAATCTGCTTTCTCAAAATAAATGGTCAAATATCTTTCAAATACTCGCAAAACCACCCCAAAATTGTCACTTTGTCCTTTCTGGTCGGGCCGACCAACTAGCTCCACCCCGCGCCGGAATTCCTCTAGCTCATCGATGCCGAAGAACTCTACGAGGTAATAAAAATAACAATACGAATAGCCGTACTAGTCGTAGTAGCCGCGGTAATAGTAGTAGTAGTAGTAGTAGTAGTAGTAGTAGTAGTAGTAGTAGTAGTAGTAGTAGTAGTAATAGTCTGTAATAGTAGCTGTACTAGTGGTAGTGTAGCCGTATTCTTTGCCATACTCGTAGTAGTAGTAGTAGTAGTAGTAGTAGTAGTCGTAGTAGTAGTAGTAGTAGTAGTAGTAGTAGTAGTCGTAGTAGTAGTAGTAGTAGTAGTAGTAGTAGTAGTAGTAGTAGTAGTAGATGTACTAGTCGTATCAGTAGCTGTAGTCCTGGCAGCGGTAGTACTAGTAGCCGTAGTAGCTGTAGTGGTGGTAGTCGTAGTAGTCGTACGAGTAGTCGTGGTAGGAGTCCTTGTCGCAGTAGTAGCAGCAGCAGTAGCAGTAGTAGCAGTAGTAATAGTACTAGTAGTAGTGGCAGTAGTAGTCGCAGTAGTACTAGTAGTAGCAATAGTGGTAGTAGTAGTAGTAGTAGTAGTAGTAGTCGTAGTAGTTGTAGTAGTAGTCGTAGTAGTAGTAGTAGTAGTAGTAGTAGTAGTAGTAGTAGTAGTAATAGTAGTAGTAGTAGAAGGAGTAACCGTCGTACTCGTAGTCGTAGCACTAGTATTAATAATAGTTTTACTAGTCGTAAGAACGCCAGTCGTGTAAGTAGTGGTAGTAGTCGTCGCGGAAATCGTAGTACACCAAGTCGCCGTAGTAGCAGCAATCGTAGCAGTTCAAATAATCGTAGTTCTAGTCGTAGTACTAATAGTAGCCGTCGTCGTAGTAGAAGTAATAGTATCGTAGGCGTAGTCGTAGTAAAAGTGCTAGTAGTCGCAGCCGTACAGGTAGTAATCGCCGTAGTAGTTGCAGTAGTTCTTGCAGGCGACGTAGTAGTAGTAGTAGTAGTAGCAGTAGTAGTAGTAGTAGTAGTAGTAGTAGTAGCAGTAGTAGTAGTAGTAGTAGTAGTAGTAGTAGTAGTAGTAGCAGTAGTAGTAGCAATCGCGGTAGGACTAGTATTAGTGTTAGTGGTCGTAGTCGTAGCTTCAGCAGTAGTCGTGGGGGTAGTTGAAATAGTAATCGTAGTGGGAGTAGGAGTAGTGGTCGTAGTAGTAGTAGGACTACTACTGGTAGTGGTAGTAGTAAAAGTGGTAGCCGTAGTGGTAGTAGTTGTAAGGATCGTAGTGCCACTCGTAGTAGTGGTGTACTAGTAGTAGCAGTAGTAGTGGGAGTCGTAACAGCAGCATTCGTTGTAGTACTAGTCGCAGAAGTAGTAGTCGAAGTCGTCGTCGTAGTCGTCGTAGTAGTAGTCGTAGTAATAGTAGTAGTAGTAGTAGTAGTAGTAGTAGTAGTAGTAGTAGTAATCGTAGTAGTACGAATTGTAGTAGTAGTAGTAGTAGTAGTAGCAGTAGCAGTAGCAGTAGCAGTAGTAGTAGTAGTAGTAGTAGTAGTAGTAGTAGTAGTAGTAGTAGTAGTAGTAGTAGTAGTAGTAGTAGTAGTATAGTAGTAGTAGCAGTAGTCGTAGTAGTAGTAGTAGTAGTAGTAGTAGTAGTAGTAGTAGTAGTAGTAGTAGTAGTAGTAGTAGTAGTAGTAGTAGTAGTAGTAGTAGTAGTAGTAGTAGTAGTAGTAGTAGTAGTAGTAGTAGTAGTAGTAGTAGTAGTAGTAGTAGTAGTAGTAGTAGTAGTAGTAGTAGTAGTAGTAGTAGTAGTAGTAGTCGTAGTAGTAGTAGTAGTAGTAGTAGTAGTAGTAGTAGTAGTAGTAGTAGTCGTAGTCGTAGTAGTACTGGTAGTAGTGATAGAAATGCTACTAATAGTAGTGATACTAGTAATTGTAGTCGTCGTAATAATGCTAACACTGATAGCTGTAATAGTACTAGCAGTGGAAAACGGAATGGGGGCTTAATGAATGAGGACAAGGATGATGCGCAGAGGCAGTGAAGATACATATGGCAAACATGAACAAGAGGAAGATTATGATGAATACGATCATGATCCAATGTGATATGTATGATCTCAGGGGGGCAATATATATATATATATACTAGAACTATATATACTAGAACCACGCGCGCGCTACGCGCGCGCTTAGGTTCTAATCGCAGGTGAGACACAGGTGCCGCTGTAAGCCCCGCTGTGGCCACAACGATTTCCAGCGTTCTCGGGCCCATGCCGTCGACGCAAAGAGCGTCAGAACAAGAGGCAACGGAGAGGAGGGAGGAGGGGGTGTGGAGGAGCAGGATGGGGATGAGCTCCACAGCTCGGTCCAAGAATAACACCAATGATGCCATGACGAAAACGGGAGAGAAAAGAGGACCACGCAGAGGAAACGAACACGAGTTGGGGTGGAAGCTCGAGAACGCGAGAAAGCGGAACACATTGAAAACAACTAATGAAATTCCAAGATTTGGACCTCTTCGGGCTCTCTCGAGACGCCTCTCGGAACTATCTCGGGGCGTCTTGAACGCCTCTTGGGCTGTGTATTTGCCGCGTTGGGCCCATCTGAGGCCACATTGGGGCCATCTGGGCCGTCTTGGAGTGCCTTGGCGCCTCCCGCTCGCGGTCTGTAGCCCAGCTTGGGCCTGTCCTGGGGCTCTCTTGGGCCATGTGGGGCTCCTCCTGGGCAATTTTCAAACTCCCTGGTGCCGTCTCGGGGCTCTTTTGGGGGCCTCTTCGGCGGTCTTGGGGGCGTCGTCGGCCGTCTTAGAGCGTCGGAAGGTTGAAAACGCGGGAACCCGAAAAACATCGAACAAACCAATGCACATCAATTGGGCCTCTTCGGGATCTCTCGGGGTGCTTCTTGGAGCTCTCCTGTGTCCTCTTGGAGGCCTCTTGGGCTGTGTATCTGCGGTCTCGAACCCATGTTGGGCCTCGTTGGGGCTCTCTGGGCTGTCTTGGAGGGGCTCGTCGAAGTCCCCGATGGCTTCCGGGAGCTCTCTGGGGCAGTCTGGGGGCTCCAGGGCTGCTCTGGGGTGCTCCCCCGTGGCCATGGCCCCGGGCGCCCGGGCCTCGTGCACGGGATCTGTTTACATATAAATATAATTATATATATATATGTATATTTGTATTTGTATATATATATATGTATATGTTTGCATAATACATATGTATATGTTTGCAGACGTGTATATATATATATATATATATTTACACATATATATATATACACATACATCTACATGTGTGTGTATGGGGCCTGAGGGCATTGGAACATTGATAGATCGAAAACTATGTGCGCGGACGCAGAAATGCGTGGATGCATGGACATACACAATAAGACCACGCGCACGCGCGCTCAGCGCACGCTGATGCTCTACTCTGGCACATGTGCTAGGCGAAATCACGCTATGCGGATGTCCCAGGTGGGGCTATAGCTGGAGCTCCTTGTGGATGGCGCTCCTCGCGAAAAGCCCGAATCAGGCCACGTGATGCTATGAGAGTTCGTCCAATGGGACTGGAATTGGGACTCCCTGTGGAGCACGGTCCTCGTGAGGGGTGCGCCGAAGTAGGCCACGTCGTGCTATGCGAGTTCCTCCATTGGGACCGTAGTTGGAGCTCCCTGTGGAACACGATCCTCGTGAGGGGTGTGCTGAGTTTGGAGATGTAATAATGTGCAAGTTCCTCCAATGGGGCCGTGCTTGGAGCTCTCCCAAGTGTCGATCCTCGCGAGTGGTGTGCCGAATTGGCGGACGCGATCCTCCGGGGGTGGGCGCTGCCTCTGGCGAGGTAGCACCATGCAGTTCTCCTCAGCACAACATTAGAACAGAACGCAAGCAAGCATAAGATTTGCAGCCGCAGCCGCTGGGGACAAAGCTGAGTTTGGGAATGCCTCCAACGCTCGAGCCCGAAGCCCGGTTTGGCAAAACATCCTCTATCATGAGAATGGCCCAGGGCCAACCCCGCTGGGCGCAAGCCCGCACATTGCGGCCGCAACGCCCTCCCGACAACGGCAAGCAACAATCCGCGAATCGATTTGGCAAGGTGGGGCTTCTACCAACCTCCGAACCTTCGCGATCAAGGAATCCATGAGCTCGAGGACCTTGCCCAGAGGGTTCTCATCGACGCTCGCTCCGCTGCACAGGCTGGCGAGCGTGGCCGCCAAGAGCAGGCCAGCGTTCTTCATTGCGGACGGGGTAGCGGCGAGGGACAATAATCAACGTCGGAATTAAGAACCAAAATCTTGAGCAAAAATGCCTACGGCCGTCGTCCCGTTTTCTTTTGGAGACCAACCTCACACAATGGGATGGGTTGCGGGATGTGGTAAGTCTCCATCTCGTCAGGGCGGGTGGTCCACGGTCTGGTGGTGAGCTGCAAGACTAGGCGAAAAGGGAAGCCGCTCGTCTTGTGGCGCCGTGGCAAAGGCAACGGGGGGGCAGTAGGATCCGGCACTCTTAGGCTTTCCCAGGCGCTCTCGGCAGAATGCGATGCAGCTAAGCCAGAGGAGACGAAGTCTGGGTGGGCACCAAAGATGCAAACACGGACGCACGACTGGAGAGATCCGCCGACGCCCGCTTGTGCGTGAGATGAATGGCTGTCCCCCTCTCCCTTTCCCCCCCCCCCCCCCAGGATTCAAAGTCCGATTAGAGGGGGGGTGGGATGGGGGATTGGGGGTGGGTCCCTGGGCTCCTGAATGCATTCTGGGGGCGGGCCCCTGGAGCTTCTCCAGAGCCCCAAGACGCTTCAAGACGGCCCAAGAGGGCCCAAACGAAACGCCGAATCAATCCAAGAAAGCGTCGACATGGCCCAAAATAGCCCCACGGTGATCCAAGCAAGCTTCGAGCCGGCCTACGACGCGCTTGAGACATCCAAAGAGTGCTCCCAGAGGATCACCCAGCCCCAAGGGCTCCCAAGACTGCCCAAGAGAGCCCCAAGAGAGGCCCAAGAAGGGGAATCCGGACTGAGGTTTCGAGCCTTCCCCCCCAAGATGACCCCAAGAGCCCCCCAGGGGCCTCTCGAGGAGGCCGCAAGAGCCTCCAAGAGCCCCCCAAGAGGTGCCCAGGAGGCACCAAAAGGCACCCAGATGACTAGACAAACGCTCCAAGAACCTGCTGGGAAGCATCCTAAGAGACTCCAGCACACCTCGAATAATTGTCTCGCCCTGCCCATACTTTTTGGGGGGGTCGGCGGAACAGCGTAAGCCTCTTGAATCCGCTCGCCCACCGGGCTGAGGCGTGTGTGTGTGTGTGTGTGTGTGTGTGTGATTCAACGGTGACAGCTCCTTACAAGGCTTTAGCCCCCCCCCCCCACTCCTTTTCCCCCCCACAAGCCTCCGCCATTCCGCCGCCCGGCTGCATCATCGGCCGTTTTCGAGCCTCAAGACGGCCTCGAGACGGCTTCCAAGATGAGGTCGACTTTCAGATCCTTCTGGTGAGGCTTTCGGGGCACATTTCGGCTTCATTTCGGCCTCTTCGGGGCCCCTTTTTGGCTCACAGCCAGCTCCTGGGGCCCTGCAGAGCGCCTCAAGGGCCCAACTGCGAATACAAACTGAGAACTTCAAACATGTTATATCACAATACATTTTTTTGTGTGTTGTGTATATATGTATATAGTATATATACATATATATATATATATATATATATATATATATAACATTTTTGCCTGGCCAAGGGTCTCGCGAACGCCTCGTATAGCTAACAATCGGGCTCGTCTGGGCCATCTTCAAACATATGAATATCGTCGCCGATTTTGGACGTTCTCGGTCTCAATTTTGAGAACGATTCCGGGCCCAACTGGGGCCCCCCAAACAGAACCAAAACCGGCCCCGAAGCAGCCAAACTTTCGGTGGCATTCGGACCGGGTCACGGCCCGACGCGGTCGTACTGTCGCTTGGGCCGCCTAGAAGGCCGCCTGGGCAGCCTCGGGCCCGTCCCCTTTTTGGGCCCGCCTCGGGGCCCTCGTCCGCCGCTGTGAGCGCCTCTCGGGCTGCTTTCGGGCCTCTCTTGGGCTGGTCTCGGGCAATGCTCTGGCCACCTGTCTCCTGCCCCGAGTGGGGAGCACCGAGCAGGCGAGCCACCGGGCTGGCGGGCGTGTGAAACTCCACTCTGCAGGAAAGCAGCAGCACGTACCTGTGGGAAGCAATCCATCACTTTCTGCATATCAATCGCCCGTCTTGGAGCCGTCTTGGCCTCGTGCGGCGAGAACTGGAATGGGCGGGCGGTGAACGCGAAGCGTCTTGAATAAAGCACCAACGGCAGCAACAACGGAACTTAGAGTAGATTCGAAGGCAACGGTGTTGGGGGGCCAGAACACCTGTGTAACAAGAGACACGACATGGGGGGGACACCAGAGAACCCACGTAGCGGCAAGGTCAACGTCTCAGGATCAAAGCTCGAAATGCCGCAGGGGAAGAACGATGGGAGATAGTATCGCGGCCGTGTCCAGCAGCGCAGACAGGCCCGACATTTCCCTGGCGGGCCCCATGCATTCCCAGGACGGCGCTACGACTCCCCCAAACAACTCGGCGACCATTTGCAATCCCTCAGCATGTCTCCAGAAACTATTTGATGTCCCGATGGAGACTTCCAGCAAGCTCCTGGCAAGCAGCAAGTCATTGCAATATGCAATCGTCATGCTACCAGACAGAACGCCGAGCAAGGAACGAAAGGGTCTTCTGACCACGGCGAGCCTCGGCCACGAATCAATTCCCCGACCTCGGTTCAAATAACGGCCAGAACATCAGAGCCCCTTCCGGCTCCAACGTGGTCCTTACTCCAATCTTCCCTCAGCGGCGAAGCCGTGATGCACCGCGTGGTGATCTAAAGTGCCATGCGACTAGTCTCGTATCTGTTGTCAATGTGGTGCCGTGCAATGCCATGCGGTGCCATCGAACCCGTTGTCAATGCGATGCCGTACACTGCCGTGTTGTGCAGCGTGGCTTGACTCTACTTCACGTAAAGATGCCGTGTGGTGCCGTGTGGCTATTCTGGTATATGTTTCCCGTGTGGTGCCATGCAATGCTGTGCTGTGCTGTCGAGCACATTGATCGCGTGGTGTCATGCCATGTGGCTACAGAGCCTCGGATCTGCTGGCCGCGTGGTGACATAATGCCACGCAGGTGGTGCTGTGTGGTCCATTTCATCTGCTTTTTGGTCTCTCTGCGCTGTGGAACTTCAATCTTTCGCCTTGCCATCCTGGAAAGCTGCGGCGCCGGCAAAGCGGTCCACGAGGCCTGGAGACGGCCCCAAGGCAGCCCAAGATCCCCCACGGCAAGGACGTCCCCGCTTGCGACCCCAAGACCCCCTAAAAAGCCCCAAGACCACCGAACAACAGAACGCCCATCAGCTCCCATGAGGGCCGAAGAGACCAATCATGCAATGCCACGGCCAACCTGTTCTTCTGGATGGCCTTCATAAGTCCACTAGGCCCCAAACGCCCCCAACGGGGGGCCCAATAGGACCTCAAAGGTTCAGCAAAGGACCCGCTCCAATATGGTTCCAAGAGGCTCCCAGAGGTCTGTTTCTCCATATGCTTCTGTAGTCACGCCACCCCTAGCGCGCGGAGCGCGCCAGGAAGGGGGTCCAACGCCGATCCAAGAAATCCGCGCGGACCTTCGAACATTCATGTTGGCGCATTTTTTGGTTGTTGAGTGTGTTTGCGTGCTGTTGTTATCCTTTCTTCGCCAGACGGGACGCTGGCAGACATCCTGGAGACCCCCTTCAAGGAATTCTAGAGGTCGCCCTCATGGGTAGCTCGGCAAAGATCTCGAATGTTTTTCTAATGCAAATGTCGGCGTACATAGAAAAAACGGGTCCTGAAAGAAACGGCCCCCAGGAAGCCGAAAACGACGAACAATCTCGGGTGCACCTTCCCCCAGGGTCCGTTCCCAGATATCCTCAAATCTGTTTTCTTGTCACCGCGGCCCCAGAACTCCCGACCCCTTCCCCAAGGATAACTCTTCGTCCTGGATTCATGTGTTTTGAGGGTCCCAAGACCCGACGACGGTTCCCAAAGGCCGATATGGAAGAACACTGCCGCCGATGTAAAAATCCGCTCGCCCTTAAGTCCGGCCTGTCCTCCTACAGAAGGGTTTTGGACGAAAGATGAGAAATAGCCAGAAGATGTTCAAACAGGCTAAACATACCCCCAACATGGTCTCATTTTTTGTTTTACATATATTTATACATAGATATATATACATGAAAAAGTTTTGCATATTCCTGCTGTGCAAGGACAGGCCCGAAGTAAGCCCACCCTGTCGGCGTGTGTGAGGGGCTTGTCCGTTCGAGTCGTCCCCTCCGCCGGCCCCCTTCCCTGCGGCCCCCGCTTCCCCGCGGCCCGTTGCCGCTCCCTCCTCTCTTCCTGGGCCCTCCTCCCTCCGGCGCGCCAGCCAGAAGGAAATCAAAAGGAGGAGGAGGCCCCCTCCTCCTCCTCCTCCTCGTCCTCCTAACGTCGTACTTCAGTCGAAAGGAGGCCCCCTCCTTTTGATCCCCCCCCGCCGTAATCCAGTAGAAAAGAAGACCCCTCCTTTTGATCCCTCCCCCGTCGGGGGTGGCGGGGGGGGGGTCTGGGGGAGGGGGTCACGTTTTTGTTCCTGTTGGGGGGGGGCAAGCTTTTGGCGTCCTCCCCTCTTCCGCTTCCCGACGCTCCATGCCGGCCACAGAGGCCCCCAACATTGCCCCGAGACGGCCCCCAATCCTCCGAGAGGTTCCCACAAGGGCCTCAAGACGGCCCGAAGCGCCTCCAAGGCAAGCCAAGGGGCACCCAAGACGGCTCCCAGAGGGTGCCCAGACGGGGGCCCGAACGGACATCTCGAGCCCTCGCCCCCCGAGAAGCTCTCAGGAGGCCCCAAGAGGCCTCCAAGACGCCCCCAAGTAGCCCCCAGGAAGCTCATGCAGGCCCCGAAGAGGCTCCCAAGAGTCCCCAGACTCCCCCAAACTGCCCACCAGAGGCCCCCGAAAGCGCTCCGAAGAGACCCCGACAAGCATCCCCTCCGCCCCCTGCTCCCCACGCTCTTCCTCCTGTTCCTCCGCCTCGTCTTCAGCGTCCTCCACCTGTTCATTGCCCTTCTCGGGCTCCTTCTGCCCCAACTCCCCCTTTTCATCCTCCTCCGCATGCTCTTCCTCATCATCCCCCTCCTGCTCGACGGCGTCCTCCTCTTCCTGCTCCTCCTGCTCTTCCTCCTGCTCCTCCTGCTCTTCCTCCTGTTCCTCCTCCTCATCCCCCTATTTCGCATCCACCTCCTCATCCTCCTCATCCTCCTGATTATCCTCCTCCTCATCGTGCTCCTCCCCCTCCCCCGCTCCCCTGGTGCTCCGCAACCTTACCTCGACCTCG